GATATTGATATAATAGGCATCACAGAAACCTGATGGACTGAGGACAACCAATGGGACACAATCATTCCGGGGTACAAAATATATCGGAAGGACAGAACAGGTCGTGCGGGGGGTGAGGGTGGCAATATATGTGAAAGAAAATATAGAATCAAATGGAAGTAAAAATCTTAAGTGAATCCACATGTTTCATAGAATCTCTATGGTTAGTAATTTCATGCTCTAATAAGAATATAACATTAGGCATCTATTATCGACCACCTGACCAGGACAGTGATAGTGACGATGAAATGCTAAGGGAAATTAGAGAGGCTATCAAAATTAAGAACTCAATAATAGTGGGGGATTTCAATTATCCCAATATTGACTGGGAACATGTCACCTCAGGATGAAATGCAGAGACAAAATTTCTCGGTACTTTAAATGACTGCTTCTTGGAGCAGCTGGTACGGGAACCCACAAGGGGAGAGGCAACTCTCGATTTAGTTCTGAGTGGAGTGCAGGAGTTAGTCCAAGAGGTAGCTATAACAGGACCACTTGGAAATAGTAATAACATTTAATATCCCTGTGGTGGGAAGAACACCTCAACAGCCCAACACTGTGGCATTTAATTTCAGAAAGGGGAACTATGCAAAAATGAGGGGGATAGTTAAACAGAAATTAAAAGGTACAGTGACTAAAGTGAAATCCCTGCAAGCTGCATGGACGCTTTTCAAAGACACCATAATAGAGGCCCAACTTAAATGTATACCCCAAATTAAAAAACACAGCAGAAGAACTAAAAAAGAGCCACCGTGGCTTAACAGCCATGTAAAAGACGCAGTGAGAGATAAAAAGGCATCTTTTAAAAAGTGGAAGTCAAATCCTAGTGAGGTAAATAGAAAGGAACATAAACACTGCTTAATTAAGTGTAAAAATTTAATAAGAAAAGCCAGAGAGGAGTTTGAAGAGCGGCTAGGCAAAAACTCAAAAGGTAATAACAAAATGTTTTTAAGTACATCAGAAGCAGGAAGCCTGCTAAACATCCAGTGGGGCCCCTGGACAATCGAGATACAAAAGGAGCACTTAAAGACGATAAAGTCATTGCGGAGAAACTAAATGGATTCTTTGCTTCAGTCTTCACGGCTGAGGATGTTAGGGAGATTCCCAAACCTGAGCTGGCTTTTGTAGGTGACAAATTGGAGGAATTGTCACAGATTGAAGTGTTGCTAGAGGAGATTTTGGAATTAATTGATAAACTTAACAGTAACAAGTCACCGGGATCAGATGGCATTCACCCAAGAGTTCTGAAAGAACTCAAATGTGAAGTTGTGGAACTATTAACTATGGTTTGTAACCTGTCCTTTAAAACGGCTTCTGTACCCAATGACTGGAAGATAGCTAATGTAACGCCAATATTTTAAAAGGCTCTAGAGGTGATCCCGGCAATTACAGACCAGTAAGTCTAATGTCAGTACCGGGCAAATTAGTTGAAACAATAGTAAAGAATAAAATTGTCAGACACATAGAAGAACATAAATTATTGGGCAAAAGTCAACATGGTTTCTGTAAAGGGAAATCGTGTCTTACTAATCTATTGGAGTTCTTTGAAGGGGTCAACAAACATGTGGACAAGGGGGATCCAGTGGACATAGTGTACTTAGATTTCCAGAAAGCCTTTGACAAGGTCCCTCACCAAAGGCTCTTACGTAAATTAAGTTGTCATGGGATAAGAGGGAAGGTGCTTTCATGGACTGATAACTGGTTAAAAGACAGGGAACAAAGGGTAGGAATAAATGGTAAATTCTCAGAATGGAGAGGGGTAACTAGTGGTGTTCCCCAAGGGTCAGTCCTAGGACCAATCCTATTCAACTTATTCATAAATGATCTGGAGAAAAGGGTAAAAAGTGAGGTGGCAAAGTTTGCAGATGATACTAAACCGCTCAAGATAGTTAAGACCAAAGCAGACTGTGAAGAGCTTCAAAAAGATCTCACAAAACTAAGCTTTTGGGCAACAAAATGGCAAATGAAATTTAATGTGGATAAATGTAAAGTAATGCATATTGGAAGAAATAACCCCAACTATACATACAATATGATGTGGGCTAATTTAGCTACAACGAATCAGGAAAAAGATCTTGGAGTCATTGTGGATAGATCGCTGAAGACGTCCACACAGTGTGCAGCGGCAGTCAGAAAAGCAAACAGGATGTTAGGAGTCATTAAAAAGGGGATAGAAAATAAGACGGAGAGTATCTTATTGCCCTTGTATAAATCCATGGTACACCCACATCTTGAATACTGCGTACAGATGTGGTCTCCTCATCTCAAAAAAGATATACTGGCATTAGAAAAGGTTCAGAAAAGGGCAACTAAAATGATTAGGGGTTTGGAACGGGTCCCATATGAGGAGAGATTAAAGAGGCTAGGACTTTTCAGCTTGGAAAAGAGGAGACTAAGGGGGGATATGTTAGAGATATATAAAATCATGAGTAATGTAGAGAAAGTAAATAAGGGAAAGTTATTTACTTGTTCCCATAATACAAGATCTAGGGACCACCAAATGAAATTAATGGGCAGCAGGTTTAAAACAAATAAAAGGAAGTTCTTCACAAAGTGCACAGTCAACTTGTGGAACTCCTTGCCTGAGGAGGTTGTGAAGGCTAGGACTATAACAGCGTTTAAAAGAGAACTGGATAAATTCATGGAGGTTAAGTCCGTTAATGGATATTAACCAGGATGGGTAAGGAATGGTGTCCCTAGCCTCTGTTTGTCAGAGGGTGGAGATGGGTGGCAGGAGAGAGATCACTTGATCATTGCCTGTTGGGTTCATTCCCTCTGGGGCACCTGGCATTGGCCACTGTCGGTAGACAGGATACTGGGCTAGATGGACCTTTGGTCTGACCCAGTACGGCCATTCTTATGTTCCTAAGGTAAATATGGCCAGTGCTTCATTTTCTGATCCAAGTAAAAAATTAACCTTAAAATAGAGATTTATTCCAGTTTTTTGGAAGACTAGTTTCTTGGGCCCAGTTTTAAAGGTGTCAATCAGCTGCAGCTCTCACTGACTTCCGCTAGAGTTATGTGTGCTCGGGACCAATGGAAATCGGAGCCTCTTGTCTACTTGTATTTGATTTTGAAATGAAAGAGAAGTTAAGCCAGGCAATTTTTTAACTCTGAAAAAACTTCCTTTTTGACCAACTAAAAAACTTTACCAGACCAGAGACTCAGAATCCTAAACTAGGGTCAGACTCTCAGCTAATGTTTATTTGTATGGCTCCATTGAAACCAGTTAAAGAACTTATATAGACCTTTATAACTTGGTGAGACATTTGCCCTCGGGGCTATTCTTGCATTGCCTGTGCTGATCTTGTCTTCTTCCAGCCTTGCAGAATTCAAAAACCAGTCAAAGAGACTGAAATGCATTGCTACTACAGAAAGGCATGCGCCTCTGGGATGAAATGCAGAGTGTTTAAAGGCACATAGCAACAGTACATTCTATTATTCGTGTGTGTGTGTGTGTATATATATACACACTTAGCTCTTCACAATCAGTATTTTTTTAGAATTACCCTTTCTCGTTCCCCACGATAACTTAAACAAATCTTCTCTCCATTGCACAGCTCCTATGACAGCTCCTGCAACTCACGAGTGTCAGACGTATCATTAGTAAAGGGTAGCTATCTCCAAGGCAAATCACAGGTGCTATTTCTGGACTTGCTCCTCTGAAGTGCGACTCCTGTAGGAAAATAGAAATCTTTAAAGCTTTTTTTTTTTGGGGTTGTCTGTAAGAGCATAATTCATTGTGGGCTTGAGCAATGCCCAGATAGGCATTTATATCCCAAACAGAGCGTTTGAATATTTAACCCCCAGTAGAGTTTAGATTCACAGAGGAGTAAATTCCATATACACTTCTACCCCGATATAACGCTGTCCTCGGGAGCCAAAAAATCTTACCACGTTATAGGTGAAACCGCGTTATATTGAACTTGCTTTGATCCGCCGGAGCGCGCAGCACCCTCCCTCCCCCCGAGCGCTGCTTTACAGCATTATATCCGAATTCGTGTTATATTGGGTCGCATTATGTCGGGGTAGAGGTGTAACAGCAGAGCAATGTATATTTGGGAATTAAGTCCATGAATTGGCTGCATTGTTTATGTGAAGGCACTGGATATATCATACCTAGAGAGGAGGCTGTGCAGGAAATTGTTGGTTCTTTCAAACCAACTAATTTCAGAATTTCAGTGGTGGTTTTGCCTGAGTAAAGGCTTCAGGTTTAGGCCCTAAATCTAAATTCACCAAGTCAGAAATCAAGGATACCACACATGTTGTCTGAGGGCCATATTATATTTTTACTAGAGTTTTCAGTCAGAAGATTCTTTCTCAATGTGCAGGACTGTTAGTGGAGTCAGCCTTTTGAATCAGCAGATCTCCTGAGACCTCAGGAGCCTGAGAGTCCCTGTGTCCCCTACACAGCCGCTCCACTGTCCTTTTCTCCCTGTCAGATTGGCTTTTACGGGAACCCTGTTGCTCTCAGCTGCTTCCCCTGTGGCTGTGCAGGAGCAGTTATGTATGGGTCCACAGGTGTTAATGCTGCTTCAAGAAGCATTTGATTGGATTTCTGCCTATAAACCTGCAGGGTGTGGAAGGGAGAATGTTGCTGAGACTCCCCTGCTCCACCTGCCGTCAGGTACCTTATAAACCAGCAGAGGCCAAAATATACAGAGCTCCATCCAGCAGAGGAGCTTTCATAGGATCCCACCAAGGCCATGGAAACATGCTGAAGGGCCAGTACCCGTCACCCAAGGTCTGCTGTGGAGAAGAGCTTAGTTCCCCGAGTGTTTTTACTTTTATTATCTTTTGATGAATTAGTCCCTTGGTGAAAATTATGTATTTGTTTATACCTTGTATGTACTATTGGGCAAACAGCTCTTCCTTTGTCTCTTATTACACTGTGAAGCACTTTACTAAAAATCTTCTGTTATACACAAGCATTTTAACAAACTGTTTGTTATTGTATCCAGGTAACAAGCATGGTAAGTATTTTAACTAAACCAAGTATTATGTACATTAGCTGTGCTTGGCAGATTTTTTGGCTAGCTTTTACTGTATTCTCAGCCTGTGCTGTTTCTAAAGGAGCTATTCAAAGGAAAAACTGCTCACCTATAATACTACTACATATAAGCTTTAGAGGGAACATATATGCACATTCATGTACCATATATAAAAGCATGCATCCCTTACCAGCATGCTTGCTACTTTGCTTGTAAAAATGAACTTGCCTATTATTGCTTGTGTTCCTTCACTGTAAGTCGTGGACCTAAACATTAGCATTTATTAATACAATATTTACAAATGAGGAACCAGGATCTGGCCATAGAGTAACAAAATTTACTGTGTGCCTATTTTTATTGTCCTAATACATCCACTTACCTAAATCTATAATCAAACAGTTTTTTTTAAACTTACCTAAATCTATAATCAAACAGTTTTTTTAAAAAAGCAAGGTCTCTGTGCTTGAAAGCACGTTTTTTTGTTATTCTTTTGGAAGCACTGTAAATTATTAACGGAAATTTCTCAAATTGGAAGTTATCGAATGTGTTTCCTTGTTTCTGTGATGATTTAAATATATATATATATATATATATATGTATATTGGATACCAGAATTTGAAATGTTTGTCTATCTGTAAACATGAAGAGAAATAATGCCCTGTTCACAAGTGACTGTAATTCTGTGTTCTCCTTAAAAATTTTCATTAAGGGCAAATTCTATCAGATCCACATGGTCGAGCTCAACTCTCATAAGTCCCAGTCCTGCAATCAGAGCCATACAGGGAGACCTCTATTGAAGACAGCTTAGACGAAGTCAGGGAAGCACTGCATTTGCAAAGGGATCTGCCTATGTGGATCCGATTTGCAGAACTTGGGGAACAATCTGCTCTTCCAGAGTTCCCTGCATGTCAGGAGAGCAGACTGATAGAGTTCGGCTTTGCCATGCATCTCTGAGAGGAGCTTTTTGCTTTGAGGAAGTTCGAGTGTATTTTAGCCTTCATGCTATATTTTTCTGCATGGTTTTCTATTTTTTGTTTTCTGTGGCCTTTTAAGTTTGGCTTACGTGCTTGTAGCTGCACTTATTTAATAGGATTTGCTGTGCCAAATGTTTTAAGAATCCATGTAATTGTCATGTTAAAGGATCAGACTGCAAAGGACAAGGCACTTCAGCACATGGCAGCAATGTCATCCGCTCAGATAGTATCAGCTACTGCTATACACAACAAGTTGGGCCTGCCAGGAATTCCCCGTCCTACATTTCCTGGTGCACCTGGGGTAAGTTGTTAACTGATGCCAATAAAAAGTTTATTTCCTAACAACGATCAGTAGGAAATAAAGGCTAAATCAATGGATTTATGCGCAAATTGTACTTACATCTGTGTTTGCAAAATGAATAAGTAATTTTGTGTATAAACGTATGAAATTATTCTATAAAGAAGGCAATTACAAAGTTGTTTTTCTCCCCATCCCCTCTAGTTTTGGCCAGGAATGATACAAACAGGGCAGCCGGGATCCTCACAAGAGTAAGTCTGAAAAATAAGAATGCTTTTATATGCAGTATATAACTAGTCAGTGGAATTCGCTGCCAGAGGATATTATTCAGGCAAATACTTAGCAAGATGAAAATAGAAGATTAGACAATTATATGAACCTTTTCAGTCACAATAGCTCGTATGGCTCCTGTTAAAACATTACAAGTGATAACACTCCATAAGACAGAAGCTGAATATTAACTGTGGACAATAATCCTCTCTCCACCCCCATCCCCCTCAGGTATAGAATTGCACTATAAAACAAGTATATGATAGTGTTGTGTGTATGTATATGTGTGTTTCCAACACAAATCTTACCTCACTCATTTTAATATATACAGGACATGAAGGGAGGTGTAGGGGAAGATAGCTCAGACATCTATTTTTCTGTAGGGCAGGGAATGACCACTTCACGTGAGCCACAACTAGATGAAAGGCCTAGCCCCGTTCAGTGGGGTTTGAAGCTGCATGGCATCTTGGTAACAACAACTTCATGTAGAGAAGAGACTTGTAAACCTGACGTATTCAGCCCCAGCCCTACAGGAAAGTGTGATCTGTGGAATACCTCCTCCCAGCTCTCATTATAGGCCTTATCCAAAGCTCGTTGAAATCAGTGGGAGTCTTTCCGTTGGATTCAGTGGGGTTTGGATTCACAGAAGGCCAGAAGCAACTGTTATGATCATCTAACAGAAGCACCTCTGTTACTGTTATCCAGTAATTTCTGCAGTGGAGGGAATTATTCTTCCCTACTACCTGAGTCAGTGGTTCTCAACCAACTTGCAGCCCAGTCAGCACACATGTGGCCCATGTGACATCCTCAGGGCCATACAGGTATATTATGGTTACATTACAGGTATATATATATATTATGTGGATGCGGTCCACATAACACACAGAGAGCTGCATCTGCAGCCCACAATGGCAAATAGATTGAGAACCACTGACCTAAGTTAACACTGTCAAGCCCCATAACTTGTGAATCAGGCTCTGTTTTACATTTGGGATAACCCCTTCTTGCTTCATAACCTATTTGTTGACTATTTTTTAAATATGCCTACTAGGAAAGAGACATCTGTGTGCATAAAGATTATTAACAATGTATTTCCTTGTGCTATATAACGAACTGAATGAACTGTGAATTGTATAGTATGTGATTTTGTGTAACTATTTATTCCAGTGTAAAGCCATTCGTTCAGCAGGCCTATCCTATTCAGCCAACAGTCACAGCTCCCATTTCAGGTAACTTCATTTTCTAGCTTCCTTTAAACAGAGCTGAATTGCATAAGGAAAAGTAATGAGTGTGTTGTGTTCGTTTCTGAGCCCCACAGAGCCCACTAATCTGTGTCCAGAGTCTCATATGTCCCTTCCAGACATCAGTGGACAAGCAATCGATTAATTATGAAGAAAAGTCACTGCTTAGATAGGAAAACGGGACTCCTAATCCCAGCACTGTCACACATGCCAGCAGTTTTTGTGCCACTAAAGTATATCATCTGGTGGTATTTCATATGATGCAAGAAAATGACTTGTGAAGAACAGAATGGGTGATGGGTTGCATATTGCAATTTAAGGGCTAAATCTTGCTTCCCTCACTCATGCAAAGTAAATTGCATTTACTTAAAATCAGAGCTAAAATTATACCAAAATAATTTATATTCAGTCCTACAAAGTATAAAACATGTCACTACCAGTATTGATCTTTTTCTTCTTCCAGAGCATCTCAGTTTAGAAGCCAGTGCCACCAGCACTCTCCTCTGCTAGCTACTCCTTAGTCTGGTAGAAGCCTTATACATCGGAGCAAAAGAGGCTATGATTGCCCAAAACTGTGTCTGTGACCTTTCCCCCTATTTGTCATTTCATGTGCATTTCATTGCTAGTTCCAATAATGGGCATTATTTCTATGCAAATGACAACAAACTGTGTCCCTCACCAAACTTCCTCATCCCTTTATTTCTCATTTATTGGCTGTTCTCGATTCTATCCATTCTTCTCTACATTATAATTTCCTACTACAGATTACTTGAAAGACGCTAGCCGTCTTTCTGAGTAAAAACTTTCCTTTGTGGTCTTGCATATCTCACTCTCTTCTCGTTTTTCCTAAATTATGTAATGTTGCTCCCGAAGCCAGAAATTATGAGTCATCTTCAACTTTTAGTCTTTCACATCTCCTTTTGGAATCTGTTTCTTGCCACTGTTAGAACACTGCCAGAATTTTCAGCATTACTGAAATCCATATTCATATTTGACTGTTGCAATTCCCTTTTTTATATAGGGTTCCTAAATCTCCGCTATCTAATTTTGAGGTGCAGAAGAATTACAGTCAGATTCCCATTCCAGGGAGTAGAAACATGTTACCTGAGTCCTCTTTTACCTTCACTAGCTTGTTGTCCATCTCTCTGAACCCACTTCAGAAATGTCTTCTTGATTTTCAAATCTTGGGGGATTATCTTTGCCTTACCTTCTGTGGTGTCTTGTCTCCCCAGGTCAGTTGCTCCACTCCTTCTTTGTTCTTTCTCCTTTTGTGACTTTCCACAATTTGAAGCAAGAGAACAGTTACAGTTTTAATTGTGGTGAATCAGTTCTGGTGGTAGACATGCTTCCTCATAATGGGTCAAGTCACTGACCCTTTATTCTCACTTTAAGTTACGATTCATCTCCCTACATTAATTATTTATTATTATTTGTATTGCAGTAGTGCTTAAAGGCCCCCCTGTGCTAGGCTCTGCACAAACACATAGAAGAGCCCTGCCTTGAAGAGCTTACACTGTAAATAGACAAGAGTGGGAGGAGGAACAGGAGAGGAAAGCCCAAGGTCACACAGCAGGTCAGTGGTGAGCCAGGAATAGAACCCAGATCTCCTGACTCCCATTAGACCATGCTGCCTACGAATGACCATGCTGCTAGTGAAATGTCAGTTGTAATGCTGTGTAAAGTGTACAATAATTAATTATATCGTTTAAGCAAAGATTATATAGTGACACGCTAGCCAAATAAATCAAGGAAGCTCCACTTTTGTTTCACACCATCCTTAGTTTGACCAACCACATTGATACTACGGTCAGTAGGTTGAATCCCCATCTTTCCATGTTGTTTACCTTTCACAAATAATAAATCCATGTTGATTTAGTATTTTTTTTAAAATCTGAATTAAGAAGAGCCCTATGGCTCCTCGTTAAATTTAATATAGAAAATGGAAGTTGAGAAATTGATTGAGTTGTACATAACAATGATACTTTGTATTTCAGGGTTTGAGCCTGCATCAGCTCCAGCACCCTCAGTTCCCGCTTGGCAGGGTCGATCCATTGGTACAACCAAACTCAGACTGGTGGAATTCTCAGCTTTTCTTGAACAACAGAGAGACCCAGAATCAGTAGGTGTTATCCAAAGAAATGCCCAGTAAACTTAAATAGTTCTCTGCTCTTCTTAGTTGTATCTACCCATTTCTAGTCTCTTCCCGCGTGCTTTCCACTGTTGGCACTGATGTCACTTTGAGGCAGTATTTCTCAAGGCTGATAGACATCGATCAATGCACTGTAATATTACTTTGATTATTTTTTCCTTTTCAACTCTTTTTTATAGAAGCTATTGCTAATGAAAGTGAGAGGCTGTGTTATGTTTGCCTCCTTTCAGCTTCACCGCAAGCGGCACTACATAGCTATGTCAGTGTGCCTCATCGCTGGTCCAATCTTAATGACTTGCTGACCCAATCGTCCAGTTATACAAAATTGCATGGTGATTTGGGCCACAGTTCAGCAAAGTACTTAAGCATGTGTTTAATTCCTGTTGAAATCAATGGGTTTTAAGCACATACTTAGAGATAAGCTTGTGCTTAAGTTGTTTCTGGAACAGGGACATAATTTAAGGACATGCTTACAATTTAGCATGTCCTTAGGTGCTTTGCTAAACCCAGGCTTTTGAGATTTGGGCAAAAATTTCTCTAGCTACCAAGAACAGAGCATAATCACTCCTGTTGCTTTCAGTTTGAGTCTCCAGGAGTGTATCATTCCACTGAGCCACCTAGTTTATATTTTTTAAGGAACAGATATTTGGACAAGAAGTTTTTGCTGAGAGTAAACCTTCCTAACCTAATTTGATTTTAAACTTGTTTAAATTTCTGCTCCAATGAATAGAGCAAGAATAGTTGAGTAGTTTGTACAACTTACCTATTTAAAGATCTAAATGTGATGCTTGCTTTGACTTCAGTCCGTTTCTCAATGCCAAATTCAATATTTAAAAAATATCTAGATTCTGCACTGCAAAATCTCAGGCAAGTCCATGGAGCTGGGTGTAATATTTCTTATTTAATCCAACCATTAGTGAGCTCATTTGATGAAGTAGCTCCTATTATTAATCACTGTGTTTTGTCTTTGCCATGAAAACGTATCAGCTTAACTCTCCTCCTGCATGTCACAAAACACCATGAATCAAAAGAGCTTGTGTCAGTTTTCAGTGGAAAAACATGTTGTTGAACTGAAAATTTTTATTGAGATTATTGCAGAAAAGCAAATAGTCTCATGAGCATGTGGTATAGACAGTCCTTTCTTCTTCAAATTGCTGGTAAAATACAGTAGCTTGCAGTAGAGTGAGCTGTCATGTGGTGTTTATAATTCTGTTCCTGAAACCATAGAATTTATGGGCTATAGCTAGGTGATGTTATCAAGGGAGTGTTTACACTGCATAATGGAGATCAGAGACATAGTACAGCAACCATACATCAAAGGAATCCTTAAAACAGAGAAACATTAAACTAAAAAGTGAAATATATTTCAGCAGTGAGATATTAAAATATATGGCCATATGTTGGGTTGCTAACTATTCTATTTGGGCATGCTGGTTTAACTGGAATGTCTGTGTTTAGAGATAGGGACAGTTCTGCTCTCAGTTTCACCTGTCTATATCCAGAGTAACTCCACTAACTTTTATATATTTATACTATTGGTTTTTTATTCCTCTGGTTATGCTTTCCATCAATTCCATTATTCGTTTGGAACAAAAGTGGCACCCTCGTTTCTACGTTCTTGCCTAATGCAGTGGCTTTAATACACTCTTGGGGTCAGACTCTGAGCTCCTTTTCCCCAGTGTAAATCAAGAATCACTTCCTTGAGAGGGAATGGTAAATAACGAAGAGGACCGGTCACTGATACAGAGCAATCTGGGTTGCAGGGTAAGCTGGGCGCAAGCAAACAATATGTGTTTTAATGTGGCCAACTGTATACATCTAGGAACAAATGACATAGGCTGTACTTACAGGATGGGGGACTCTATCCTGGGAGCCAGTGACTCTGAAAAAGATTCTGGAGTTACGTGAGCTCCCAGTGTGACGCTGTGGCCAGGAGGGCTGTAATGCGATCCTTGGATGTATCAACAGGGGAATCTGAGTAGGAGTAGGGAGTCCTGTATTTAGCATTGGTGTAGCTGCACCTCGAGTACTGTGTTCAGTTCTGGTGTCCACAATTTAAGGAGTATGTTAATAAATTGGAGAGAGTTCGGGGAAGAGCCATGAGAATGATTACAGGAATAGTAACCATGCTTTAAAATGGCAGACTCAAGGAGCTCAATCTATTTAGCTTAACAAAGGAAGGTTAAGGGGTGACCAGATCACAGTTTATAAGTGTCTACGTGGGGAACAAATATTTTATAATGGCCTCTTCCATCTAGCAGACAAAGATATAACAAGATCCAGTGGCTGAAGTTGAAACTAGACAAATTTACACTAGAAATACAGTGCAAATTGTTCACAGTGAGGATAATTAACCATTAGAACAATTTACTAAGGGTTGTGGTGGATTTTCTATCATTGGCAGTTTTAAAATCAAGAAGGGATGTTTTTCTAAAAGATGCTCTAATTCAAATAGGAATTACTTCAGGGAATCCCTCGGGCCTGTGTTATATAAGAGGTCAGCACAGATTATCACAGTGATCCCTTCTGACCTTAGAGACTATGAACTCAGTGGAATTACTCCCGCAGTATATTTACGCTGAATGTTTTATTTTTCTTAAATGTTTAGAGATAGAATATCTGTAGACCCCCCCATCCTGTGCTCTGAGCACGTATACCATAATTTAAAAACATTCAAGAGGACTGCCCATAAATATAACAACTTACTCCCTTCCTCAAGAGCCTGGGAAAAGAGATGCCCCTGGCAGCATGCACAAATCCAGGCTCTGGAACACCAGGGTGAAAATGAGTTCCAAAGTCATTGACCCTTCTCAGACAACGTACTGTCAGCAGCTTCCTGTCTTTTATATCAAGGGAGCGTCCACCCAAGTGCCTCTGCTGATCTCATTGGTGGCTGTATGTCATGAGGAGAAAAGTGGACTCTCAGGTAACAAGGTCCCTAATCATCTAGGGTTTTGTAGATTAAAACCAAATTATGTAGAATTCCATCTGGAAACTTAATGGGAGCCCCAGTGCAGATCACAGAGCACTGATTATAAAGTGCTCCTGCTCCCAATGTATAAGTGGGATGCAGCGTTCTGTACTAGCTTCAGCTTCTGCAACTCTATTGGCTGCAGCAGCTACCGGGCATCCAAGATCCAACACCACTCCCAACTTGCAAGCCTGTTTTGCAAATGGCAGTCACACTTCCTCAATGAAGGGTGCTGACAGCAGTGCAGCCAATGTTTCCAGCCGTTTCCCTGAACCCACCAACTTTATGTCAGCTTCACATAGACAGACTCACAGAAAGAAGACTCTCATTCAAGCCCCAGTTCCATCTAAACGGGTAATTTGCTCCACTGTTCTGGCTGGCTCAGATGTGATAGAGTCATAGAGCGGGGTGTCATACTGAATGCAGTGCAGACATGGTCTCTTCATCAGTCCTTCCAGGGGCTTCATATTCACGCTGTACGGGAAAGGTGTCAGTGTAGATCCCTGCAACACCCACGCAAGAGAACCTTTGGCACAGAGGACGATTGCTCACAGCTGTCCTTTGAGCTCTCTTAGTGAGATAGGAGCAGGGCCACTCCAGAGCAGCTCCAGCCACCCTTTCTAGGGTTTTCAAATGAACCAACAAAATCTCATGGTTAATGGTGTCAATAGGGACTACTGTATCCCTAGCAGAGGCCAAAATTTACCGTGAAGTGCTACCAACCCATAGAGTGATCTGTCAGGGCAGTCTTATCTCTCAGGACTGCTTGATAACTCTTTAGTTCCATCAATCTTCAAAGGCACACCAGCAAACCAGTTCTATTTCCCTGACATTGCAAATCAAAGGAGACAATGGTCTGTGCATGACAGAGGGGTAAACCTATCCCTCCAACAGCCACACCATGCCCAGAAATGCGAGCCAGTGTGTGGAGAAAATAAGGTCAGAATATGACACTTATTGACCTAATTGTTTTGCAAGTATTTATGGAGGTTCTCAAGAAAGCCTCCTCTTAAGAAGTTCCTAATAAAGAAGTATGCCATCATGTAGGTTTTGTCTTCATGCGGCCTTGTAAGATGTACAGCATAGAAGTCCTTGGCTTATTCACTGTATACCTAGTATATTAGTGATTTATGTGCTCTGGTGTACACAGAATGTTACACAGAAATAGAAGATGTTGCACATGTCTCCCCAAGTTGTAGGGAAAACGTATGTTTGGAAAATAGTATGTGATTGTGTAACTAAAAACAGCATCCTGAGGGTGGCAGAGTTAAATAAATGAATTTTCTTTCCTAACTTCCGAATGGTTAAAACCATGTCATTGAAACATCCTCTTTATATTGTTTTCATAATGGAATTATTATTATTCTACATTAATGTGTAACATTTAGTTTAATAGATATGTATCAAAGTTTGGAAAACATGTCTGTTTTATACAGCGTACAGCATTTGTATCCCTAGGCCATCTTACGGTTTCAAAAAATGAATAATAGAGCAGTTCACTGACTAAGTAAACTTTGTCCTCCCTCTGAGGAATAGAACGGCTTTAACCAAATATGTTTTTGCCAGATTATATGTGCTCTGCAGTCACACCACTGGAATTAATAATATGAAACCAGCTGAGTGAAGTGAATAGATTTGCAACATAATCGACTACTAATGGTCAAAACATACTGCTTTGGCAACTGTGGGTATCAAAAAGTCATGTCCTAAGTATTATTTTTACATGCAGTAGCTCAGCATGCAACCCATTGCACTAGTACAGTACATGTGAGACTAAGGCTCAGCAGAGGCCTCTGAGCTCTCATTTTCCAGGCAGGTGCAGACTCTCTGGGGAATGTAACACATACACTTGTATTGCAGAGAAAAGTTAGAGACTTGAATTGAAAAACAGTGGTGAAGAAAGCCTGGATAAATACCACAAAGCCCTCTTTGGAGTAGCCTAATATCTTCTAGAGTTCCTGCCATGTAGGGGTGAGATCCCCAAAAGCATTTGCCTCTG